CCTCCCCTTTCCTGACAGAACCTCATTTTTGGTCGGGGGCATGTCACCACGTCCCCCCCGGGAAGGTGACCCTGTCTGCAGCTTACAGGAGCGGGGGACTGCTGGTCCAAACCCTTCAGAGCGCTGCCTCCTCCACACCAGCTGTCAGTGCCGGGCGGACGTGGCCGGTTCTGACCCACGAGCCATCAGGGCAGGGCCAAGGGACTACAGGGAGTTTCCCCGGGCCACACACTGTCCTCGGCCTGGATGGCATGTATTTCAGGTTCAAACTGCCAGGTGGGTAGGCTTATCGGTGTAAAGACCCTCACACGCCCAGGGTGCTGCCCAATGTGGGAATAATCCCTCCAGGGATAGAGGCTTAAACTGCGATGCCCAGAGCATGCTGGGAGCACGCCCACTGTGACCCTCAGGACTGGAGCGGCGGTGCGGGCCGGCGGGCGGAGGCCCCGTGGAAGGAGGTGTGCAGAAGGCGGGTGGATACATCCTGGGCTTCTCTGACTCGGGGCCTTGGTGCAGCAGGGCTCTCCAGCAGCTTAGCAGCTACTGGAGGGTAGGGATTTTCACACGTTTCCCCTGCCAGGCGTGTCTGCAATCAACCCTTACCCTCCCCATGAAAGAGGCAGTGGGCTTTGCTGAAGGGTTTGAACTGAACTTTGATGGGGGCCGCCTTGCTAGTGGGTGGGGCTGCCATGCCGGGCACCCTTGAGCTGGCCCTGGCCACGGTCACATTTGGGGAAGAAGTGGGGCCTTGCTAAGGCTTGGACGCTGGGCTTCTTGCTTCACTGGCACCTCTCACCAGCCCCGGCACCGGGGCGTCAGCTTGGCTGCAGTCGGTTCCTGTTTGGTTATTGTTTCCTGAGTGACCGTGAGAACAGGTGTGGTGGGGGTTGGGGAGATGGGGAAGGGCTTATTGGCAAAAGAGGACTCAGGATTTTCTTATTTCAATGATTTTATTTATTTATTTTTTAGAGAGAGGGGAAAGGAGGGAGAAAGAGAGGAGAGAAACATCAATGTGTAGTTGCCTCTTGCACGCCCTCTACTGGGGGCCCGGCCCACCCCAGGCATGTGCCCTGACTGGGAATCGAACCGTTGACTCTGGTTCACAGGCGGGCACTCAGTCCACTGAGCCACATCAGCCAGGGCATCAGGATTTTCTTGTCCGGCCCAGAACACCACCCGAGAACCCTCTGCTCTCACCCTTAATTATTACTATTATTTATTTTATTTTATTTCTTAATCTTCACCTGAGGATATGCTTATTGATTTTAGCGAGAGGGGAAGAGAAGGGGAGAGAGAGAGGGAGACATCAGTTGCCTCCCAGCCTGCCCTGCCCGGGATCGGACCTGCAGCCTTTCGGTGTTAAGGGACGATGCTCCAGCTGAGCCGCCGGGCCAGGGCTCACCGTTGACTATTGAGAATTGACTGACCATGACGTGTGAAATGAATTCCTGTTTAGAGAAAAGCATTGAGTGGAGCTTAGAGGCTGGCTGTACAAATAGATGCTTAGAATTCAGACGACGTGAGGGTGGCGGCGTGTGCCGGGCGGGGGTGGGGCGGGCAGAGGGTCTGTGTGTAGCCTGCGCCTCCCGTCTCTGTAGAGAGAGTCTGTGTGTGGGGGGGGGATAAACTCAAAGGGGTGAGACACGGAGAGGGCAGTCCCCACGCCACCTCTCTCTGACCTGGGAAGCAGCTACTTGTTCTTTGTGACAGTAATTAAACACCAGAGGCCTTGCCATGACTTCATGTTCAAGGTCAGAAGAGGAAATATTGAGAGACACTATGCATGGGGTAAATCCTCAAAGGGACAAGCATTTGCCAGCTCTGCCCCGCCGCTCGGTGGAGTTCGAGGCCTGGAGTGGGGTGGGCAGGGCACAGCGCCCTCAGTGGTCTGGTGTGGTAAGTGTGGCGGAAATGAAACCGCACAAAGCAGGGGCACTAGACAGAGGGCTGCTGGGAGGACGGAGCAGCACAGGACGGAGGCAGGCGGACGGAGGCAGTGACTTTCCATAACACCCGACTGGAGCGGGGTTATTGACGAGGGCCCACAGTGGGGAAAACACCCACCAATAACCCAGTGGACCATGGAGGTCTCTGCAAGTCCTTTCCCGTGGGAACCCTGTAGGGCTGCATTGCCAGTGAGCACGGCAGCTGTGCCTTCTCTGCCACCCACCCCTCGACCCACGAGTGCCCTGTGCTTCAGAGGCCCCCACACGGTCTCTGGGGCCATGCCCCGCCCCCTGCAGCTGTGGTGGGAAAGCACTGCGGACTGGGGGAAACGTGTGGGCGTGGCCAGGCGGGCCAGAGGGTGGATGGGTCTAGATTCTGATTACACTGAGGGCTGGCCCTGGCAGGGTACTGTCCGCAAGGCCCGGAGGTTTGTTAGCAATGCCGAGTCTCCGGCCCCTCCCAGACCCGCTGATGGCTTTCTCGCCACACTGGGCTGGGGCTCTGTACCCTGAGATCAGGGTTGGAAGGAGGGAAAAGGGAGGACTCAGGTGAAAACTCTGGACAACAGCTCTGAAGAAGGGGGGTTGGGCCCTCGGTTCAGAACAGCCTCTGAGAAAGGAGGAGGGGGGAACCGAGGGGAGGAAGTCCCGGGAAGTGGTGTGGGCCGGGCCAGACTCGGGAGGCCACCGAAGACAAGCTTCACCCCCTTCGAGGATTGGTGCGGGGCTCACTTTCATCTCATTCATCTGGAAATTATTGGTTACATCTCTGAGCCAGGTGCTGTGAGGACTGGGAGATGAGGGTGTGGGGGCGGGGTGGGCACAGCCAGGAGAGGACCCACCCCCTCCCACTGGAAGGCGAGGAGGATGAGTTGGGGCAAAAGTAACCCTACTGTACAGGTGGCAGCAATTGAGCTGTGAGTCGGTCCCAGAACACCTGTGAGTGGAAGAGAACACACGTGGCGTGGATTAGTGCCACGAAGAGACGTGGAAGGCTTCGTGAAAGAGTGGAAGTTACTGGTCGTTGAGAAACGCCTGCTCCAACCTGTCTGGACGGGAGTTGAAAGGCATCTCGGGGAGACGGCTGGCAAAGTCCGCATGGTACGGCCAGCCCTGGTCCCTCTGCACCCGCCCGGGACTGGGGAACGGTCTGACCCATAATTTGAGGACATTTTAAGGGTATTTTTGTTAAGGTGGAGAATTTTCTGCATATTTCCCCTAGTGTATAGGCTGCACCTTTGTAAGCATGAAATAATGAAGATGATGATAATAGTAATGATTATGTAATTATAGTAATTATGTAACTTGTGATCAAGTTGGATGGAGCCTTGAATTGCTAAGTTTGGTTTTATTCTCTGGACACAGTAAACACATCACTGACCTGTTATCTGCCCCCCTCAACACACACACACTGTGTGTTTATTGTTAAACTTGGGGTCTTAAAAGCACCATCCCACCCGGCCCCAAATAAGAAGGAAGCTGTGGGAAGGAATGTCCAAGAAAGTTTATTCTGAACAAGGAACAATGCCGACTTGAACACAGCCGGGAACACCAGCGTCTTTCTGGCTGCTTCCAGCTCCTGCCCCCAATTCATGAAGCCCACCCACCGAGAAGCCCCAGACGTTGCCGGGGTCCCCGTCGGGGGAGAAGCAGCCCGGTTGTTCCCCGGAGGGGACAGGACAGTGCCGACAGGGAATGAGGAATGAAAAGTGTGTGAGCCAAGTAAATGGACGTACGTGGGCGACAGCATCTAGCCATCGCCCTGGCTCGAAGGAGGAAAACAAGGACCGTTTAAAAAACTAAAAATATAAAACCACACATTACATTATAATGTCTCTTGAGGAAACAGAGAGGAAACTGACAGCCCCAGGGATTGATTTACGGTGTAAAACGTGAAAACTGGAACTTGGGTGAAAAAATAAAAACATGGTTGAACATCCACCCACGGGGACGTACAGATGAAGTTAGTTCAAAGAATCGCACACGCCGGGCTCATTTCTACAGAAAACCAACCTCGTGAGTGAAGAGGGTGGTCCCCCCAACTGTTGGCCACGCTGCTGAGCAACAGCTGCGTCCATTCAGCGGGTGGTCCGCGCAGGGCGCCTTGCAGCCAGGATCAGAGCTAACCCTGGAACAACCCACAGGGGGCGTTTGTCACACTGATTTTTAAGCCGAGGAAACTGACGCTCAGGTAGGTGGTGACGCCAGTGGCCTAAGGGCTTCCGGTCAGTGAACAGCGGGTGGCGTCTGAGGCCAGGCCTGAGCCCAAGTCTAAGCTTCATCCCTGACGCTGCGGCTTCTTCCCCATTCAAGGTGACTGGCCCTCAGGGAGCGTGTTTTCCGCCTGGCCCCATGGTCTTCCTCGGGTAGGCTTCCTGTAAGGACCCAGGCTGCCTTACCCCCTTCCCAGGGGAGAAATCCTGAAAATGGGGTTCAGGGACTCGGTTTGGGGAACTCTGATGGCGCTCAGGAGTGACCGATGGGCAGTAACTTGACCTCGTGAGCAGGCACCTACATGCCACCCCAAGGATGGGGTGGGGTGGGGACCTGCTTACATGAACAATGGGGTGAGGCGGTCTTCTGTGAATGTGGGGGAAGTACGTCTGCAGCCCCAGACCTTGGGGACCAGGCTGGTCTCCACGCCACCACAGGAGCTCAGAGCCGGGGCTGGCAGAGAACACAGGAAGACACCTTGGTCTGGCGCCAGGCCTGGGGAGGTGTGTCCACAGGAAGGGCACGCGACACTTGCGTACTTTGCCTTCCAGCTGCGTTTTCTAAAGTTCTGTCCGAGGAGCCAGATGGACTGTGCTGCAAAGTTGGGGGTGGAAGCGCACGTCCACCATTGCGGTTGGACCTGCACGTGCAGAGCTCACAGACGCCAAATGTTGTGCATGTCTGCTACCCGGCAGCCCTGCAGTCAGAGGCGGGGCAGGGAGCTGCTGAACCCCTTTGGCAGATGCAGGAAACCGAGGCACAGGAAGACCGAGGCTGGTCCCAGGTTGCACAGGGGATCCTTCTGGCAGCTGGGACCAGAACCCGGGCTTCCCAGCTCCAAGCCCCAGGCTCCGTCTGCATCTGATGTGGCCAGAGTGAGGCAGGGACTGTCCTGGCACAGATGGGTGCAGACCCCCTGGGCGGCCCCGGGTGGTGGCTTAGCTGCTGCAGCCCCGGGAGCAGGTGGGGCCCATGATGGTGTTGTTGCAGCCGTCCCGGAGCCCGCCCGGGGCCTGGCTCCCCGTGCGGCCCTCGTTGTCCGGGTGCGGGCCGCCCTGCCCCTGCTGCCTCCTCAGCCTGCAAGCAAGCACAGTACCGGCCTGCGTTAGTGACATGGGGAGGGGTAGCGGGATGTCCAGGACACACCGGGGCCAGCAGAGTGCTCGGGAGCCTTAGCCCGCACTTCCCCCCAGGCCTAGTGAGTGCAGCACTCTGGAGCCAGGTGGGCCTGGGCTCAAAGCCCAGCTCAGGTGTGCTCAGGTGAGTTAGGTGTGCTCAGGTGAGTTGTTGCCCATGCAGAGGCTCAGTTCCTCCATCAGCACAGTGCAGATAGTAATGCCCACCTGTGGCCCCCGTGAGGTCTGCAGGCATCGTGGACGTGACTCGCCTGAGCTCGCCATCAGTACAGGTGGTGGGGCCCCCACACCGCCTGTGCACACCTTTGCACCAAATGCCTACCAATGGACTGGCTGCCATGTGGGATGGAGGCAGGCAGGGGAAACTCTGGTGGGCAAGGCCGTCGTCGGGCACAGACTGTCCCACAGGTAAATACCCAATCGGGGCACTCAGACCTGAACAACAGCTCACGAGAGACCAGTGAAGGGACTGTGATTCTGAACGTTGCATTTTTTAATAGCGGGCCACTGGTCGCCTTCCAGTGAGTTAAGATGCTAACACCCCTCTGTTTCTGGGCTTCAAGTTCAGGTTCACGAATGATCCCACAGTGGTCACCGAATGAAACCAAGACATGGAAGGAGGAAGTAAGAAGTTGGAGCTCAGGGGGGGACGGCTCCAAGCCAGGCTCTCGACTCCTGCTGGTCGGACCATGCCCATCTCCCGAGCCTCAGTTTCCCCAAGTAACATGGGCTGGCAGCCTTCACTTGGCAGGAGGTTTAGGGGATCAGAGAGGCTGGGTGTGAAATACCCAGTGTGGGGCTGAACACGATCACATCAGTGCGCTCGGCCTTGTCTGAAAGACACAGGGTTCCACCCAAATGTACTTGACATTAGTAAGTGCGGAGGGCAGCCGTGCAGCCTGATTTAAATGAAATTCATGTCCTTTCCACGTGCAGGGCCCTGGGGACGATCCCCAGGTGAGTACAACACAGTCCACAGCCTGCCTGGATCACGGCTCTGTGTGTGTGTGTGTGTGTGTGTGCAGAGTGCATGTGTGTGCGTGCGCGCTTGCTCACGCCCATCACGTGGGGATGCCCAGTATTGGCAGCGGCGCCCCTGTCTGAGCAAGTCCTTGGCCATGCTGAAACGCCAGCTGCAATGCTGTTTTACAGGATGGTCACTCGGGGGCCCCTGCCTCCTGTCCTTTGTCCAACTGCAGGGACCAGGACCCAGAGGGCAGAGTTGAGGTCCGGTAGGTGGATGGTGTGTGGAGGGGAAGGGAGGGGAGGGGAGCGGGGTGGCCAGTTCCCTGGGCGGGGCTGCTGCGTGCCTCAGAATCTTCTGCCAGTTCTCTCCCCTGCCCTCCATCCTAGAAGACTCGGGCACCTTTGGAGAGAAAATCACCTCCAAATGAGGGGGAAACGCAAGTGACTAAGAGACCTGGGAGAATGAGAGTGGAATCCATTTACTTCCGAAGCAAGATGGCGCTGGGGAGCGCTCACCACTGTCCTGGGGGACAGTTCTCCAGGGCTTCTGCAAGGTAATCAGGAATCCCTTTCAGATTTCCTTTTAAATGCCCCAAAGCTGGGACTTTGTATTTAAAAATAGTGTGTGCACCCAAATACGGTTATCCTGAGAGCCAGCACAGCTGTCTCCAGACTGCTCTACTCCCATTTTAACAGAAAATGAAACTTCGATGCTGCTTCACAGGAGTGGAGCCTAGTGACACGGGAGCCGCGATGGCTTCTGACCCTGGTGTGGGTCAGGGAAGGCTTCCCGCAGGAGGCGGTGTTTGAGTCGGGCTTTGAGGACCACAGCTGAGCCCCTCCCAACTCAGTGTCCTTGCCTGTCTCTAGCTGGCCCTGGATGCTGGGGTCCCAGCACAGCCCACACCCATTAAAAATAATAATAATGATAATAGCAGTAGTAATCATTTTTACTATGCCAGGCATTGTATCAACAGCCTCATTTAATCTGGTAACAACCCCAGTGCAAGGCAGGGGGCCCCAGTGGCCAGTGCTGGAGACGAGGGCCAGGGCAGCCAAGCACCGGGCCTCAGGCCGCCTGGGCAGCTGCAGCACAGGACACGACCCCAGGCTGTTTCGCTCCAGCGCTCGGACCCCCAACCACCCATAATCCTGCCCCTGTGCCAGCACCCCTGGGCCGGCTCCGTCCGCTCCCCCATTTCCCACAAAGATGCTGGGGCCCAGTGGGGAGGAGCCAGGCAGGGACCACGGCTGCTGTCCCCCCAGGGTCACAGCAGCTTCCTGGGACTTACTTCTCTCGGTTGAACACGATGAACTCCTTGCGCACGGTCTCCAGGCCCTGCTGCAGGTGTCCGTTCTGCGGAAGACACAGACCGGCACTGTGAGTGACCGCGGCGGTGAGGAGAGACTGGTCTAAATGGGACCGGGGAGGCCTGGCGCTGGGGCCGGCTAAGGGGCAGCAGCCGCCTGCACCACGGGCAGCTGGGCCAAGGGGGCTCGGCAGACAGAGACGTTTTCCTCAGGGTGAAGCCATGAAATCCAACGTGAACGCCCTTTGGGGCGGGTTATGGATGGAAAATCATTAGCTTGGCTCTTTGGTCACTGGAATGTCCCTTAGACCCAATGAAGCACGCAGGGGTGGGTGAATGCAAGGCCACCCTGCAAGGTGCGCGTTCCCGTCCGGAACAGGTGCCAAGAGCCACCTGTGTCACCAGTGCTCTGTCACCGCACACCGGACAGACACCCCCTGCCCCCCCATGTGTCCTTGTTAACACACACTCAGGGGCACAGGGCCTGGGGCCCAGCGTTCTTCTAGGGGCTCCAGAGACAAGTTAATTTCTTTTAAAAGAAGCAGAAAAGCCCCAGCTGGTGTAGCTCAGTGGATTGAGCGCAGGCCTGCGAACCAGACAATCGCAGTTCGATTCCCAGTCAGGGCACATACTGGGGTTGCAGGCAGGTTCCCTGCAGGCCAGTTCCCAGCAGGGGACGCATGAAAGGCAACCATACATTGATATTTCTCTCCCTCTCTCCTTCCCTTCCCCTCTAAAGATAAATAAATAAAATCTTAAAAAAAAAAAAAAAGAATGCTTTAAAAAAAAAAAGCAGAAAAAATGAACTCTTAGTATTCAAAGTTACATTAATCCTCGCACCAATATGGCCATAAAATGTAATTTTAAAATGTTTTTATGGAGGAAGGGGCAGTTGAGGGTTGACTGGGCCCCCTTATGAAGCACGTGTTGAAGTTTGAAAGTCCTAACTCCTCAGCCGGTGAACGTGGCCTTGCTCAGAGACAGGGTGGTTGCCACTGTCACTAGTCAAGATGAGGTCATATTGGGAAAGGGTGAGCCCCCAATTCAACGGCAGGTGTCCTTCGAGGAAGGACACAGGGCCACGGAGGGGAAAATGCCACGTGACGGTGGAGGCAGAGGGGAGTGATGCAGCCACCAGCCAAGGACCGTCGGACGGCTGGCCTCCACCCCCGCCAGGCGATGGGGGGGACCCTCCCTGCAGCCTTTGGAGCGAGCCTGGCTCTGCCAGTGCTTTAATTTTGAGCTCCTGGCCTCCCAAATGGTGAGAGAGTAACTGTCACTTATTCCAAGCCACCAAGGTTGTGCCACCGTGTTACGGAGGCCTAGAAAACAAACACCTAAGGCCAGCGTGCCCCGGGCCCCACGGAAGTCACAGTGCGGCCCTGGCTGTCTCTGCAGCATGAAACCTTCCCCAAGGGTGCTCAGAGGACTCAGCACCCTTGGTCTGCTCCTGCCCTGGGACAGGCAAGGCTCCCCCTGCCCCGGGGGACTCAGCTAACCAAATGATCAGAGCGTGGACCGTGGCTCTGTTCCCAGTTCCGGGCGGTGAAAAGCCACGTACTGGATGGGGGCATCTCATTCACAGCAAGTGAAAGTATCTGGGTGGGTGGCCTGGCGTGCCCCCCCACCCCTCGCCCAGTCACCCCCACAGAGTGCAGCACCCCCGGCCCCGCCCACGCGGCACTCACCAGAGGACAGCTGCCCTGCGCGCCGTCTTTGGACCTGCTCTTTGCCAGTCTCTTCTTCTTCTTGTGCAGTGGCTTGGACTCGAGAATCATTTCCTCCAGTTCGAATGTGGGGTCGCAGTTCAATCGCCCTTTCTGAAAGGAGAGCACAGTTTCTCTTTGTCCCGCCTGCCAGGCTGCACCTCCTCTCTCGTCCGTCCATCACCCAGTCACTCATGCCACAGGCGATGACCGCCCACCACTGCAGGACGTGTCGCTCACGTGCACTTTTCCTGACGAAAAGCAGCGCATTCCCACGGCACACGTCTCCGTTTCCCCGTAACGCTCCCCGCCCACCGTGGACGAGCCCCCCATCACCGTCTGCGCACCCCCGAGGACTCCCCATGGACTCCCAACACTCTCTTCTATAAATATCGGTTTCAACTGTTCAATTTAAAAATGCCATTTCTGAGACTTCCGCCAAGATGGAGGCATAGGTGGATGTGCCGTGCCTTCTCACACAACCAAGTTTAGAGACAACTAAATGTTAGCAACAGAAAACACAGCCAGAACACGGAAAATTGAACTTTTCGGAAGTCCGTTAACAACAAATTCTTCAGCCTGACCGGTAAGGGGCGAAACCAGCGGCTGGTGAAGCGGGGTTGCACAGGAGGTCTCGGTCAGCCGGACTCAGGTGCAGAATCCAGATGCGGAATCCAGGCGCAGGGTTGGACCTAGTGAGCGACCGAGCGAGCCACCAGGCGAGTGACCGCAGGGGAGACAGCGGGGGAGTGGGCGGTTGGACCTGGCCGGCAGGTCCCCGCGGCAAGCGGCAGTGGAGGGCGCCGCCATTTCCCCGCTCTGACCCCACCTCCACATACAGCGTCATAACCCAGCGACTCTGAGTGGCCTGGCCCAGGTGAACCACCTAAGGCGCTGCTCCTCCACACCCAGCTGTGAGAAGCGGCAGAGGGGGCCGCCATTTCCCCGCTCTGACCACGCCCCCACATAAGCGTTACAACCCAGTGACCTGGGAATCCAAGGCGCTGCTTCTCACACTTAAAGGACCCAAACAGACCAAGAATGGCGCAGGAGGACCTCAGAGCCCCAGAGCCCATAGATCTAAGCGATAAAGAAATAGCAAAACTCACAGACGCACAGTTTAAAACATTGGTGATCAGGATCCTCACAGAACTAGTTGATTATACCGACAAATTAGACAAGTATATGAAGGCGAAACTAATTGAAATGAATGGAATTGCCCAGGACACCAATAGCAATGAAAAGGAAACTGGGACTCAAATCAATGGAGTGGACCAGAAGAAAGCAAATAATGGCCAAACCGAAAATAGTCAAGAAGCAAGAATTCAAAGAAATGAGGAGAGTCTTAGGAACCTCCAGGACATCTTTAAACGTTCCAACATCCGAATTATAGGGGTACCAGAAGGGGGTAAGGCACAGCCACCAGTGGAAAACTTATTTGAACAAATAGTAGAGGAGAATTTCCCCAATCTGGCAAAGGAAATAGACTTCCAGGAAATCCAGGAAGCTCAGAGAGTACCAAAGAAGTTGGACCCAAGAAGGAACACACCAAGGCACATCATCATTACATTAGCCAAGATTAAAATGAAGGAGAGAATCCTAGAAGCAGCAAGAGCTAAGGGGACAGTCACCTACAAAGGAGTCCCCATCAGACTGTCAGCGGATTTCTCAAAAGAGACCTTACAGGCAAGAAGGGGCTGGAAAGAGGTATTCCAAGTCATGAAATCTAAAGACCTACATCCAAGATTGCTCTATCCAGCAAAACTTTCATTTAAAATGGAAGGACAGATAAAGTGCTTCTCAGATAAGATCAAATTCAAGGAGTTCATCATCACCAAGCCCTTATTATATGAAATGTTAAAGGGACTTATCTAAGAAAAAGAAGTTAAAGAAACATGAACAGTGAAAGGACAACAAACTCACAGTTATTAACAACCACACCTAAAAGGAAAGCAAACTAAAAGGACAGCTAGATCAGGAGTGGAAACATAGAAATGAAGATCTCAAGGAGGGTTAGCAACAGGGGAGTGGGAGGAAGAGAAGGGGGGAGAAGGTACAGAAAATAAGTAGCATAGAAAATAGAAGTAGATAGAAGATAGTTGGGGGGGCAAGAATAGCATGGGAAATATAGAATCTAAAGGAATTGAGACACATGGTCATAAACTAAAGGGGGGGGTAATGGTGGGGATGGGGGTAGGGTAGAGGGGAATGAAGGGGGAAATAGAACTGTAACAGCATAATCAATAAAAAATTAAAAAAAAAACAAAAAAAATATCCTTAGGTGAGGATTAAAATAAATAAGTAAGTAAATTTAAAAAAGCCATTTCTGATCAAATTCCTCTCATTTCCAGTCCTGGTTGTCTGCTCCTGCTGCGGCTGCAGCCCACCCACTGTGGTCAGGAGGCCCCCAGGGGCTCCCTGCCTTCCAGACCTGGGATCCGAACCCTCAGGTGGCCTTTGTCTGTGCTGAGACCCAGGATGCCAGCTGCCCAGGCAGCAAGGCCTCGTGGTTGTAACATCAGCAGCTCTGGAGGCACAATCTCTCCCAGTGAGCAGGTCGGCCTTCAGGCCCGAGTCTCTGCTGGCCTGATGTATCTGCCTCTCATTCATTCACTGGTTCACTCATTCATTCCAAGGCAGGCTCTGGTGCAGACAGCCTGAGGTCCCTTGGTCACCGAGCGATCCTGGCAAATCTCCCAGCCTGAGACTCCCCACAGGCTCAATTCCCGGGCGCGAGGCGCGCCACCCGCAACACCCTCCACCCTGCAGGCTGCTGTCATTCATTCATTCACCCATTCTCACTGGTCAGCAGCCCCCGAGGCCTCTCGGCTCCCACAGAATCCAGCCGGTATGGCCTGGTCCCCAGCCGGGGAGTTTCAGGAGGATGGCAGCCACACCGAAAGGGGACATTACGGGCCACTAATGTCAACCTGGGCACCTCTGCAGTGGGGTGACCACTGAGGCTGCTGTAATTTGCAGAGGAGATAGGGGCTGGCTGGGAAGCACCCCCCGGAAGTGGGGCCTATGTTTGCTTCTTGTCCAGAACCCGTTCCCGAGACCCTCACGTGGGCCAGCCACTGTGTTTCACACTGAGTCTGGAAGGAGGGGTGGGAGGCGAGAGACTGCTCCTGGGTGAGAACGGCGTCCCTGGAAGGGGGAGCAGCGTGTGGCCGGGCACGGAGCGAAGGAGCAACGTGGCCAGAGGTGCACTGCAGGCTCCTCTGGGTGTGAGGGAAGCCCGGGTCCTCCACAAGAGGGCTTGTGTGGGACTGAGTGCATACGTGAGGGTGTCTGTGTGAGAGCAAGTGTGTAGTGATGGCATGTTGGAGAGTGAGTGTGCACGTAAGTGTGTTTGGATGGGGCAGGGGAGGAGCGGCAGGTGAGGACCGAGGAGACGGCCGTTGCCAGAGCGGGCATTCAGCCAAGGGCACCGAGCGTGACCTCCAGTGGGTGCGTTAATGAAAACAACAATGACACACACATACAACACACCTACACACTCACACACAACACATACAAGACATAAAACAGGTCACACACATGCACACCACACAGCACACAGCTCACAGCTGGCCCAGCAAAGCCCTCCAACTCCCATGGAGGGAGGAAGGGGAAGGGCAGTGACCGAGCAGCCGCTCTGTGCCCGGCCTGCCCGGGGCACCTGGCCTCCACACCCCACTTGTTTCTCCCACTGTCCGAGAGGTGCATGAGGGGACAGAGAACCAGAGACAGCTCTGGGGTGAGGAGGGAGGTCAAGGCAGCTTCCTCTGAGTGGGACCCTAAGGAGTTGGGCTGGGCAGGTGGACAGAGGCCTGGGCAGCGGCAGCGGGAGCGCCCAGGCCCGGAACACAGAGGCAGAGGGTTCTGTGACCACCGAGCCAGCACCTCTGCAGCCCAGCTGGGAGGGAAGTCAGGACAGGGTGGGCTCAGAGGACTGCAGGGCTGGACCTACGAGGACGGGGTGCCAGCCTAGCTGGGCAGGGACACCGTGTCTTCTTGTCAGGAGAGCCATGAGGAAACCAGCGTCACCAGGCTGTGCTGCCCCCGCAGGGCACGGATGGGCGGGGGAGGGTGTGAACTCGGAAGGGCGCCCATGCGTCCCAAACACCGTCTACAAAAGGGGAAGCCTTGGATTCTGGTAGGAACAGATTTGGGGAAACATTTTTGCATCAAATGGAGCAAGAGAGTCTTTAAGTTAATCTGACACAAAACACCGCTCTGGGAAGTCGGGGGTTCACCTCCACACCTACCCACCTGGGGCCTCAACAAGTCTTTTCCCCTCTTTTGCCCTTGTGGTGTGAGTGTGGGTGTGTGTCTCCGGGTGGAGGCCTGCTGGGCCTGGGGGCTGCCAGGGGTCCCTGCAAGGCCAGCTCCTGCGCCCTCGTGCTGCATCTTGGTGAACGTGGACAGACACTGGGAGACACAAGCGGGGTGTGGAGGCCGCACTGCTGCTTGGTGGCCAGCGACAGGGGCCTCCAGCACAGCAAGGCCGGGACCCTGCCGAGGGCGGCGGGCCACCACACGGGCCCCCACTCACGTGGGGCACGAAGCTGGGCGTCAGCGCCTTCTCGAACACCGCGTCCCAGTTCACGTCGGCCAGGTAGGGTGCACTCTGGACGTCGCCGAGGCTGGATAGGCGGCTCTCGGGGTCCTTGGTCAGGAGCTGGGGACACAGGGTGACCATGCTTGCCTGAGCTGAGTGCCACCAAGGTTAGCAGGCTCTGTGGGCGGGGTCATGGGAACCTGAGGGGCCTCTGCTTTGTGTGCCCTGGTGGTGCTGCACCCTGCCCGGGAGGCTGTCACTGGAAGTGCCACCTGCGCTCCTCTCTACAGCAGGTAGGGACCGAGAGGTCAGGCTGCTTCCACAAGGCCACCCAGCCAGGGACTCTGGGCAGGGACTCAGTTAGCCCTTGGGGACTATGGCCCTGTGACATGCTGGCCCTCACAGGGGTCTGCAGAGGCTTCCAGTTAAAAATAAAAAGAATCAGCCACCTCATCTCAGGACTTGCGGCTTGAAAATGGGACGTACAACATGTCTTCAAATTTACCCTGGACAGTAGGAGGTGACCCCCGTGGCCAGAGGCCTGACCTCATTGGTAGCCAAGGGAACACTTTTCAGCTTCTTTTCAAACAGATGTCTCCTGAGAAGGGCGACAAAGTAGAAAGACGGCCGTAGACTGTGACCTTGTACCCCAACAGGCCTCTGCCTGTCCGCACTCTGCCTTATCCAGTGCAAAAAACGCCGGGGATACGAGCACAAGGACAGCCTCTCAGGGGCCGCTGGTGCTCTGTGCTGGTCCGGGAGCAGGGTGGTCACTCCTCCGTGTCTAGGTCACAACCAGGACAAGACCCAAGGGGGACTGGGCAGGTTGACATCCACCTGCTGACAGAAGGGAGCTGCTCCTTAGCAGGCGGCCCCTGCATGAATGGAGTGGATTCAGAGACCCCACTGCGCTGCCCCGCAGGGGCTCAGCGGTTGGGGCAGCCACTGTCTGACTCACTGGGGGGAGCGGAGGGCCCCGGCAGGTGCAGAGGGCTCCCTGTGATTCAACGACCAGTCAGGCTAAGGACACTGACTTCTAAGGACCAGGCGGTGAATCTGCTCTACAGCGAGTCAACTCCTTAGTCATTCAGTGTGTCCGTTACAGCGAGGCGGCCGCGGGCACAGCTGGGCGTGGAGTTCGGACAGCTTGACTCAGACCCCGCCTCCACCCCTAATGCCCTGTGGCATGGATGGAACCATCTCGCTTTCCAAAACCTCAGTCTTGTCAGCTGTACTGTGGGGATCACACCACCCCTTGGGTGTAACTGGGGGTCACGTGAGCAGTGCCACCAGGGCCCCCGAACCAATGCTGGCCCACACACTCCAGTGCATTAGACTCTGCATCTTGGAGGTTCCAAATGACCAGAGCTGAGCACCAGCCTCAAAAGGAGGGCACCACGACCCCTGCCCTCGGGCAGGCCTCACGGCCACCTGGAGGGCTTATGAATATGCAGACGCCCCAGCCCACCCTGGTTCCTGACTTGGAGGGTCTGGGGGGTGGGACAGCAGAGGGGCTCCCAGGCCGAGCTGCCTGCCGCGGCCGCTCGGTGGACCACGCCCCGAGAACAGCTTCTGTGCTAACAGCAGCAGCTCTTGCAAAGAGCCAGGAGGTGCCCAATCTCCCAAAGCTCGGTGCATTAAAAGGCCGATTGCAGCAAACATTTCACAGAGACACCTGCGTCACATATTTCTACGTATCAGGAGCTAGCGGCCATGAGAAAGAGCCTGTGGCTTTGCAGCCAGAGACGGAGCTCTACGCCAGACTCCGATGCCCAGCGGCTTCGTGACCCTGAACGCAAGTTAGAGCCCCTGCTCTATTTCCTCGTCCCCTGAGTGGCTGGCTGGCCTGGCCTGCGCCCTGACTGGCTCCCTCTAGACAGGCCGGCGGCGTCCCCTCACCTTCTTCAGCAGGGCGACCATGCCCTGGCCCCACGTGGAGGAGTAGTGCACGCGCTCCACCTTGAACATGTGCAGGACCTCGTCGACGGGCGTGGCCGAGTGGATCTCGTACGGCCTCTGTGGAGGGCAACGGGCAGAATTAGGGGGGGCACTGCTGATGGGGACAGGAGACGGCGAGGGCGTGGCTGGCACTGTGCGACCACCAGGAACGGCTGCCTCTTTCCTGCAGGTAGTGCTGGGTGCTCCTGTTTCACAGCAGAGCAGGTGGCCCGGACCCATGGGCCACCAGCAACCAGCCCCGTGGGGCAGTGCGGGCACCGGTCAGTGGGTGCTCCGTCAAGGCCGTGGGAGGTTGAGTGAGTTGACCAGGTCACACGGCCAGTAAGGGGCAGAGGCACGATCCACACCCAATGGCCTGACTTGAGTCCCCACTCCTGGCTCAGGACTGGGAGCCTGGGGGTGCGGCCTAGAGAGATGGCGTCACCAGGAGCCCAGCCACACCTCAGTCACGGCCCCCACTTCCTGGCTTGACGAAGCAGGGAGTTATTACTTGTCACACAGCTCCCTTCGCCATCTTTGGCTATTACGTCTAAGTGAAATAACGGGAAAATACGTGCCGAACGCCCAGGACACTAGGGGACCGGGGACACGGGCACAGACAGGAAGGTGGCACACTCCTGGGCCGCACCGCGCGGTGGGCCCACACGGGCCGGCACTCGAAGCCACCAGGCCAAGCGGCTTCCTGGGTTTGAACTGCCACTGATCAGCGGCGGACCTCGGCACATGACCTTCACCTCTGGACATCTGAGGGGCTGGACCAGAAGCTTGCTAACGCTCAGGGACCTCAGAGCTGAAACCCAGGCCACCAGGACCGGCACCCGGGGCTCACTCCTCACACAGAGCTCCTTTCCGCAACCCGGCGTGTTGACTCCACACAGGCCTGGTTCCACCCGAGCGCCGCCCCCCCTCCCCAGCCCCTGTGCCCACTCACCCAGCCTCGAAGTAGCTCGTAGGCCGTGACGCCCAGGGACCACCAGTCCACGGGGTACGAGTACCCGGGGCCTCCGTCCACACACACCTGGAACACCTCTGGGGCTGCCAAAGACAGGACAGAGAGAATGTCACCATGTGTCTCAGTTCACACTCACCGCCCCTTAGGGAGGGGACGTGGGGACAGGAACCATGAGGCCAGTTTCCCACCTGCTGCACGACGAGCTTCCTGCCCCCATAAGCCAGGGGTTGGCTCCAGAAAAGCTGCAGGCGTCACGGGAAACACTGGTGTGACCACCTGGGCAGAACAGGTGGTGCCCCACATGTGCGGGGGGCTGCCTGCTCTGCCAGGTGAGGGGCAGCCCCCGGAGCCGGGGCATTCAGCGGAGCGCCCAGCACGGGGGATGGGTGGACAAGGTCTCAGTTAAGAGGGAGAAACCGCACCCAAGGGGCTGGGAACTTTGGTGACGGTCACTCTGCTTCCGGCACCAACACCGGGTCAGGAGGCGCGGCAACCAGGGGTGTTTAGAGCCCTTCGTGCCTGCTGCCCTCTTGGAGGCAAGTTTATTTCAGCAGACGTGGGGCCTGCCCCAAATACCCACAGCAGGTAACACCAGGGACTAAAGGCAGGTTGGGGGTGCCAGGGGCTGGGGGAGGGGCAATGACAACGGTCCGGAACTAGCCGGTGGTGGCGGCCACATGGCATTCTGAATGTGCCAAGTGACACAGAATTGCTGCTTTAACTCGGTTAATTCTATTATGCGAATTTCACCTCTGTTAGAAAGAAGCGCAGGAAGGACAGAGGCGCAGAGCGGGGGAGTCACCTTGTTGCCTCACCCCACCTCCCTGGGCTGGGAGTGCACCCTAAGCTGTAATTGCTCAGTTTGGCCTCCGGGAAAATCTAGTGAAATGTTTATAATTTCTAGCGAATGCGTTTGCAGATACGATTCTGTTTTGCAGTTGTCAGGGCAGCCAGAGTCTCCCGGAGGGAACCGCGCCACACTGTGATCGGGAGCGCCTGGACTCGGGTGTCGGACTGGCATTTGGACACAGTGGCGATGGGAAGGCACCGATGCTCGGTCTGGGTGCTGGGTGGCCGCTGGACACGGATCTGACCTTTGGCCCAACTCGTCTCAGTTTTGCAAACAGGATACAGCCATTTGTTCAGAGAGTGGTTAGGAGGATTCAGCGAGAGTTGACGCCCAGGCCTGGCGGGTTGGCGCGGGCTGAGAGCTGCGGGAATCTCAGGCAGGATCTATATCAGCGAACTCGGATGCACGCACCCCTTCCTGGCAAGCTCATCCTCCCCACTGTCCCCCCATTGCCCAGAAGCCTGGGACCCTCCTAAACTTCATCCCCCGCAACCTTGTGACCTAACGGTCGGCAGGCCCTGAGTTTTGCACTTTCTGCATCTGTCTCCCCCTCTTATCTGTCCTAGATCCGCCTGCATTCGACGGTGTGGGTCCCGCTTGTTCACGGAGCGTCTGGTGGGAGGCGTGTGGCGTCCTAGCATGAGCTGGCCCTGAGCAGTGCCGCGGTTCCCCATCCCGCCGGGCCCGCCCTGAGCCCCGTTCCCTGCCTCGCCATCCGCACACGTCCTCCTCCAGGCTGAGGGTCCCCCAGACAAGCAGTCATGTGGTTCCCTGCGAGTGTCCCCAGGGTCCCACGGCAGCTGGGCTGTCCACGTGCTCGGACTGAGTGGGGGGGCAGGGACGCGCCGTGATCAGGGGAGCGGCAGTGTGCGTCACGGTGTTCCCTGGAAACCTTCGTCATGCCCGCCAGCCCCGAGCCCACCCGGTGCTCAGGGTAGAAACAGCAGCTGACAGATTCTCTCCCGCTGTCACGAGCAGTCAAGTGACAAATGTCTGGAGCCTGTGAAAGGTGACATTCTCTCTTCCCCTTCATGCTTGGGGCTGATGATACAACATAACATTTATGTCATAATCCATATGCCACAAAAATGACTGCTCTGGTGGCCCAGAATCACAGCGCCATACGGACTTAGAGCTGAAGTGCGGGTCCGAGACCATTCCCGTCACTCCGTGTACAGGTGACGGAGCTGGCGCAACCGCAAGGCGCCAGGTGCTCGGTGAAGGGTTACGTGCATGGCCGCTCCGCACCCTCCCAGTCACCAGGCCAGCCAAGTGCTCCGGTAACTCCCACTTTTCAGATGAGGCAGTCAAGGCATAAAGGGGTGTGGTAGGCTGAAGTGTGTGCCCCCAAAAGGTGTCCAGGCGCTAACATCCAGCACCTGAGAACGGGGCTCATTTGGAAATAGAGTCTTCTTGGGTGTGACGGAGGTGAAGATCTCCAGATAAGATGTAGGGTCCACCCTGAATGTCTTTATAGGAGGAACAAGAGGGAGACTGACACAGAGAAGGCCGGGGAGGGGGCGGAGACCACCAAAGCGGCCACAGTCCCGGGGACCCCTGGAGCCACCAGGAGCTGCCAGAGGCAGGAAGGACCCTCCCCTGCAGCCTCCGGAGGAAGCACGGCCCTGTGGCACCTTGGTAATACCATGCCCCCAGAAGGTGAGAGGGTGACTCCTACTGTCTCCAGCTACCACACCTGTGGGTTTGACCTCACCTGTGGGTTTGCTGTGCAGCCTGGGATGTGGATGCGGGGTGAAGACAGTGCCCCCAGCCACCCGGCTGGTGTGGCCGAGCGGGGCAGTCCCTCCCCACCGGGTTCCTGACTCCAGAGTCCTTTCTCCGACGCTGTGTGGCTGCCAGGAGTGAAGGTGAGACCTGAGGATGGATGGGTCCTGGCGCGCCCTCACGCCTTCCTCCCCGCCCTGCCCTCCCACAGCCTGGAGCTCAGCCAAGTACACAGCAGGCACTTAATAAATGCACAATTGGCTCTTTCACCACTGAGGCCCCAGAGCTGGTCCAGCTCCCGGCCTCCAGGTCAGTGTGGCAGCAGCAGGGTCCTGTGGACGCCACCCTCTGGGAGTGGAGCCCTAGGCAGATGGAGGAAGGGTGGTGCGGTCTGTCACCACAAAGGACTCGGGGTGGGGGGAGGGGACTGGGCAGACAAGCCTCCTGGGCTTCCCGCTGCTGGGAGAGGACAGCACCGATGAGGAGGCCCAGTCCCCGAGCCCACAGGTGCAGAGCCCCCCGGAGACGCACTGAACGGGAGAACAGAGAGCAGGTGCTGCCCGCTCCTCCCCACCCCCAACAGACCGGCAGGTGTCGGGTGGCGGGAAACGAAGGTCTGCTGCCCAGGGACAGAGGGCCAGGGAGTGGCCCTCTGCGCACAGGCCTGAGGGATGGCCCAGAGCTGGATAACACACGGAGCAGACCCTTCAGCAGCCCCTCTCAGCTCGACCCCAGAAGAGGCAGGTGGAGAGTGACCAGGCATCAAGAATCTCACACAGGCTCAGGCCCTGGTGAGAGGGGCTCGGTTGTCCCTCCCCCTGTCCCCCCAAAATGAAGGGACGGTCCTTTGAACAGATGGCGCTGGAACAATGGGGTGGCTAGGTTCCCCCAGAAGCAGCCGGATCCATACCTCACGCCGATTCAATGATGACCCCAGAAGGGACGTGGCTCCTGGGTAAAACCCCAGAGCGTCAGACCTGGACCAGAGGACAAGGCGAACCCTCGGGAGCTCGTGTGAGAGAGTTTTAGAAGCGACACCAGATCCGTGATCAATAAAGGAAAAACTAGACTTCATCAACTCTGAAGATGAAGCTTTTAAAAGCTTCTGCTTTATAAAGACTCAAAAGATGCTGAACCACTGTCTGGTTGCAAATGTACGAACAGCACGCACCCGAGAAGGACTTACAGCCGGTACCTGTAAGGGCTCTCATAGGGCTTAGTGGGAACAGAGCAAGCCATCAGTGCACTCACGGGCAGGTGACTGAAGGGGCGCTTCCCAAGGAAGGCACAGGGAGGGCAGTGAATGAAATCATGCTCAGCAGTATCGGCCACTAGGGAATGGGGGATCGAACCTGCTACCCACACGTCGGGAAGGCTGGCCAGGACGGGGCGGAGGCAGAGCTGGGTGGGGGAGGCGGAGGTGGACCGGCCTCTCTGGAACACAGGTGGGCAGCTCCTCGGGAAGTCAAACGTGGACTTTCATGTAGCCCACGGACCCCCCACCCTCCACTAGGTAACTATTCCAGAGAATGGAGGACGGAAGTTCTTATAAAAACCTCTGTGCAAAAGTTCTCGGTGGCTTCATCAAAACTACGTAAACCTAGGAACAGCTCAAACGCCTTTTGGCTGTGACGGACAAGCTGTGTGTGTTCGTGCAGTGGGGCTCGGCTTGGCCATAAACAGGAACAAGGAACCGAGACGCAGGACGACACTCATGGATCTCATCGAGAACCACGTCGTTCTAGGTGAGAAAAACCAGATTCAAATGCCACAGACAACACGGCTCCGTTTGCGTGACTTTCTGGAACAGTCACAATCATTGGCTGCTGGGGACTGGGACGAGGGGATTCTGGAGGTGATGGAATGTTCTGTACCATCACAGTGGTGCCGGTTATATGACCGTAGGTGCTTGTGCAGATTCACAAAATTATATGCTAAGAGAGTACATTTTACTGCATAAAGTTTGTTCCTCAAAAATAAACACTTCAAACTATATGTTTATCAGTTTGATGATTTTTAAAGTGATTGTCTTCCTTATAAGCAGCCAAACCAGTGAGGGCAGAAACCTTGTCTATTGGTTCACAGATGTATCTTTGGCCCTAGAACACTGCCTGGCACACAGAAGGTGATCAGTTAAATCTCTGTTAGATGGATGGATGGATGGGTGGATGGGTGGGTAGATGGATAGATGGTGGATAGGTAGATGGATAGATGGATGGATGGACAGACAGATAGATGGATGGATGGATGGATGGATGGACAGATGGATGGATGGATAGACAGCAGCTTCTCAGGAAAGACAGTGAGCACTGGAGCCTCGCTGGCCTGGGTCGCAATGCTGGCCCCGTCACTTTCTCTGGGCCGCAGGGCCGCCAACCCCACTAGCCTCCCCCATTCCAGCCGGAGAGTATGAGCACCGCCATGGTGGCTCCACAACCACCTTGTTTGCTCACTGCGGGTCCTTGGGGAAAGGAACCAACATCTGATGAGCACCGATGAGGCACAAGCCTCATGCTCCCCCCAAGCACCCACCATCCCCCAGCGGACCCAGCTCCAGTACGAATTGTGTGCATCGGGGCAGGTAATGAGAGTTGCCCAAGTTCATCCAGCTGCTAAGGGGTAGACCTGTGAAGCCCTCAAGTCACCGGGCCCTGCCCCTGCAGGCCTGGTTACCCATCTGCATCTCCAAGGCCACACAGGAGGTGGATCCCGTGGGTCTGATCTTGACTGTGGCCGGCGCTGAACTCCCTTTGGCCTCCCGAGGCTCTTACCAGGGCACTGAAGATGCTGGTGCTTCAGCCTGTCTCACCTCTCCCTCCCCACCGCCTCTTGTTCTCCAAGCTATAAAATAATGGAGAGGCCAGGCTCACTGAGCACCACATTGTTTCTGGCCTTTGTGCCTTTGTGCTGGCTGTTCCCTCTGCCAGAAACGGCCTCTTCTTGTCCGTCCCCAACAAGCCACCTCTAGGTGTCCCCGAGAAAGGGAGTCTGTCATGACCGTGACCGTGGCCTGTTCACATCTGCCCTACACACTGGTCTGCCCCACCAGACGGGGAGCCTGAGGCCGGAGCACACGGCCCCTCTGAGCCCAGGGCCTCCTGGGTGCTCCGTAACTGTCTGCCGAGTGAAGGCTCGGTTACTCCCTCCGTCTCAGGTGAAGACCTGCGGAAGCCCCAGGCGGCTGCGGGCCGGTGCTGACATCTCGTCGGGCACATTTCAGAGATGCTTTTCCTCTGATTGTGAATTCCATCTGCTCTTTTAATGAATGAAATTTCACTTCCATGCAAATGCTTCTTCCAGGATCACCCTTCATGAGTCACCTTTGGGAGTTCACTCATCAGCCTGTTCCCTGAACTCGTGTTTGGAACAGGAACGTTTACTGGGCCTTTAAACTGAACAGCTCGAGTGAGCGAAATCAGCGAACCTGCCAGGTGACACCGTTGGGAGCCGACAGCCCCGGGACTTGGAGGACCTGGTGGATTTGACTTCATCTCTCCCCCGGGCACCCCCCGCCTGGTACTGCCACCCCGACCGTGTCTGCAAACACGTCCATTCGGAGACTCGGTTTTGCCCTCTGGATCCCATGCGCCCCACCCCTGCCTTCCTTCACTCACTCGGGACTGAAGCCGCTCTACTTGGAAGGGCACCAGCAGCCCTGACTCCTCCTCGCAGCTGGGACGCCTTTCTCACGTCCCAGGGACACAGCTCTGTGACACAGGGGACCTCAGTGTCCCGAGGCAGCCTGTCGTAGCGGCAAAAGCACGTGCTCCAGACCCAGACAGACAGCTTCAAACGCCGCTCCCTTTACTCGCTGGCTGTGTGGCGCTGGGCAGGCCCATCACTGTCTCTGGCCCTCAGGTTCCCCGTCAGTGAAATGTAGGACCCTCACGTGGAGCTGCTTCTGGGGGTTAAATGCGGAGACAGACACGCTGTAGGGTCACAATACGTGTTGATTTTCTTCTGCCTTTTGAAGGTGGGGTCCCCGTGGAGAGTGGCTGGCCGAGCCACCACAGGTCCTGTATCTCGGAGGCTGTGACCGGGACATGGTTGCCTGAGATGTCAGGGGTGGGGGGGACTGGGGACGAGCTGATGCACCTGAGCAGAGTCCCTGCCGGGGTGCCAGGAAAGTCCGCTGTGTGCGCTGGCAGAGCAGGCTGGGAGGTCGGGGCTGAGGCCGCCTGGTCTGGAACTTCTCCGGGGGGCCGGGACCTGCATTCCCGGAGATCAGTTTGCTTTGGGAGCCAGCTTACAGGAACCCAGAACTCACATACAGAATGTCGGGGGCCCACGGGGAGCTCCTTTTCTTTACGTCACTGCTCTCTCCTCAGCCGTCTCTGGGGAGATGTCTCCTCCGGCCTCTCCCTGCTCCTTCGGCAGGATGTCCCCCAGGACTCAGAATTGGGGCTCCTCCTCCTTCACCCTCCCGGATCGACTGGGTCACTGCCTCAGCTTTCTGCACCTCAGCACTGGAAACTGCCCCCGTCCAGAGCCCTGGAGGGTCTGACGGTTGTGGGCTTCCTCGCAGACACCACAGATTCCAGCTCGTCACCCCCCATCCCAGATGCCTGGGGGCAGCTTGGACACCCCGCCAGCCCACCCTCCTGCCCTCCTCATCTCTCCTGAATCTGAAGCCCGTGACCTCTCTGGACAGACTTGCCCCGGCTCTGGATCTTTCTGGAAAGGGACTTCAGAGAGACCTTCAGCAGTGAAAGCCTTCCTGGGGTCCCCAGGGGACCATGTGGAGGGAGAGGACCCCCCCCATGGGTGCACCTCTGGGGTTCGCACTGACCTGGGTCTGCCTGTCACCACTGACGTCGCCCTGTGCAAGTCACCCAACTTCTCCCAGCTTTGGGCCCACTTTGTGTTTGTGAGGGTGACGAACAGGGTGATGGACGGAAAGCACTTCACACAATGCCTGACACAGTAAATGCTAAAAAGTCACATTTTTACCATTAATTATTGCCAAACTTCATTTGTTGGGTGTATTCCATAAGTCAGAGAGGAACAGCTCAGCGGAGGATTCGGGGGAGGTGATGACGCAGTGTTCAAATCTCCGTACACCCACGTACAGAACCGACGGAGCAGACAAACAGCTAAACCAAGACTCCCGGGCGACATTCACTACAGAACGAAGTTGTCCTCACAAACCCCAAAATTAAGTGTGTAGGAAGGAAGCAGCAACGGCCACAAGCCCAGCCTGGGACCCCTGCGCAGAGGGAGACGGGGAGAAGCGAGGCAGCCTGGGGCGAGCCAGAGAGCAGAGAATCCGAAGGTTGCGGCCGTGGGGAAGCAGGACTGGCCGACAGACCCGAGGACTTTGGCCAGCCCGACAGCAGGGGCGGGAAGGGGCCCTTGGCACGTCTGCACAGGTGGCCAAGCTGGGACCCCAAGTCTCGCTGGTCAGAGCAGCAGAGCTTCCTGCCAGGACAGAGCCCAGGGAGATGCCATCGGGAGTGCAGTCGACGGGGGACATACGGACCCGGGAAGGGTAGGTCCAGGTGGGCAGTGGAACCGAGCCGGGAGCCGCGGCTTGAACGCCGGGTTCGTTGCCTCGGGTTTTGGCTTCACAAACAGAACAGAAGAGGTCAGTCCGTTGAGTCCGAAAAGCTGCCCTAAATTGCCCCGTCTTCGAGAAGCTCAGGAAAAATCATCTTACATGAAAAAGAGCAACAGAGAAGTATCCAGGTCAAAGTCCACTTTATTACGACACAGAGGAGAACAAAGAGCAGAGTAACACGTCACAATGAAAACGCACCAGAATGACGTGCCAAAAGAAAAAGACCCAAACCGTAACCAACTGCCTGGAAGAGTTCGGTGGCGGGGTGGTGGGCTGGCTCGGTACTGGCTCCCCAGGGAACCCACGAATCAGGCCGCCGGTAGCCCAGCCCGTGCGGCCCCTCCCACAGGCTCCCCGGTCGTGGTCACGGTGACCTGCTCTGGCCAATTGGACATCGGGAAATGTGAGGCGAGCAGGGACTTGACAAGCATGTGGGAGATGTGTTCCCCTTCTCGAGACTACTGTCACCATGCAGCAAGCACACCCTGATCCCCTTGATGACTGGAGGCCACACAGAGAGGCCCCTCCCTCCCGGCTGAGTCCCCGCTGAGCCCCGCCCCCACTGACCCACTGGCTGAAGCAGCGGGCCCAGCCGCAACGGAACCAGCAGAAGAACCATCGAACCAAACTGGGGCAGAATTGTGAGAAGTAATACGTTGTTATTGTTCTAAGCTACTAAAATTTTTAAAAGATTTTATTTATTCATTTTTGGAGATGGAAAGGCGGGGAGAAAGAGAGGGAGAGAAACATCAGTGTGAGAGGGAAACATTGGTTGGTTTCCTGTCATATGTGCTCCAGTTGGGGGCTGAACCCACAACACAGTCACATGCCCTGGTTGGGAATCGAACCGGTGACCTTTTGCTTCATGGGGCGACACCTAACCAACTGAGCCACACGGGCCAGGGCCTGAGCTACTAAGTTTTGACGTGGCTTGTTACTCAGCAATCAGGAATTATTACAGACATCAAGCACTAAGAACTAATAAAGACATTAATGAAGTTGTACAAGACATAAAAGAACAACATAAATTAGAATTTAAAACTTCAGAAATCAGGCAAGAGAACTCAAGAAAAAATTAAAAATGTAGGAAAATTATTCCACTAATAACTCCTTCACTGGAAAGCACATGAAGTAAATGAAAACAACAGACCGCGCTTTAAAAGAAAGAGAAAGAAAAATGAGGAAGAGTTAAACAAATGAAGGAAAAGCTAAGAAAGATTTGCAAACGATCAGTCTTGAAGGCCGGCACACAAGACCCAACATGCAGGTAATAGGCGTCCTTAAAGGAAATGAAAGGAGACGGAACGTTGACCAAGAAGACCACGTCCATCAAACGTCAGGAAGAAAAGCCACCCCGCAACCACACGCCGTGCACAAGCCTGCAGGCCCAGGCGACGGACACCGGCGCTACGTTCCGGCAGCACCCAGAACATTAACGGACGCTGATGGAAAGGAAGGACGGGCTCGTTCACTTGTTTGCTTGTTTTCCCCTAAGCCCAGCGGGGCAGCAGTTCTTAGAAGACACAGGGGAAGGTGTTCCTGGCAGGAAGGCAGCGTGGGGAGAGCCCGACAGTGTCGGAGAGCACAGCACATACTAGGGACGGTGGGGGCATAGGGACGTGGAACAGGGGACACACACTGAGGCCCCAGCCCCTGCGCAGCTCACACCCCGAAGGGGTCCAAACACTCACCCATGTAGGGCTTGGTCCCAGCCATGGAAGAAGCCTTTTCCGCCCCGTTCACAACTGTGGCGATGTTGAAGTCCGTGATGTGGACATGTCCTGGGGCAGAGAGAGAGAGAGCCGTTAGCAGGAGCTGCAGGCGGCGGGGCCCTTCCCGTGCGACTGAGGGCGGCGGTCTGCGAGGTGCCGCGTAGGGAGAAACCGCTAGAACCGCTACTTACATTTGCTTTTTGTCTGACACTTTGAAAACATGCTTTTCTTTTTCTTCTTTGCAGCATTATTCACAGTAGCCAAGGTAGGGAAACAGCCTAACAACCTAAGTGTTTGCCAACAGGCAAATGGGTGAAGAATGTGCTATGTCAATACCGTGAAGTACTACTCAGCCATGAAAAAGGACACCTGCCTTTGGTGACAATGTGGGTGGACCTGGAGGACATATGCTAAGTGAAATAAGTCATGCAGAAAGACAAATACTATATTGCAGGAGAACACTTACTTGGAGTCTAAAAAAAATGAACTCACAGAAATAGAAAAAGAAGTTGCCAGGCGCTGGGGGTGGGGCAAGGGGGGAGGTCGGTAAAGGGCTTGAACTCTGAGCTGTGAGATGAACAAGGTCTGAGCATCTGATGGGAAACACAGTGACCATGGCTGATGACACTGTTGGGCGACTGAAATTTGCCAAGAGTAGAACGTAAATGTTTATACCTACGTCTGTTTCATGTGCAGGTTTTACAGTACAGTTTTTTGGTGGTCCAGGCCTAGGACCTATAAATAAACGGATCTATTTACACTGAGGACATGACAAAAACGACGATGGATTGAAAGTGTAGAGGCACTGACCCAGAGAGGGAGGCGCCTGGCAAGTAAGAGACACGGGTCCACGTAGACTCTGGGTCAGGGAAACTGTGAGTGACCACGGAGGGGGCGGCGCACAGAGAGGACCCTCACACCCAGGGGGCGCTCTTGTGCCCAGTCTCTCTGCTGTGGTCAGTGGAGGCCTGAGGACTGTATCTGACCAATTGAGTGGGGAGGGAGCTGGGGGTTGAGACCCTCCTCCAGCCAGCCTACTGGGACGTGAGCAGGCCGGGTGCTCCCACAGGCAGGTGTCTAGACCCCCGTGAGGGAAGGGGAGGGGCTGGAGACAAGACCTGAGCAAAGGGGAGGCGGGAAGGAGGGGCAGGGGGCGCCTGAAGGGGCGGTACTGGCTCTCTAGGGAACTTGGAGCATAAACACCCAGCCTGGAGACCCTCGAACACCGGATGTAAGTGCCCTCACATTCTTTCTGATTTGTCGTCACAGGCTGTGAACATGGCTGGTTGGACTGTCACATCTGAGACACATTTGGCATGGTGGGACTTTCATACATAGGTGGGTGGCATGCACAAAGCTGGCTTTGAGGGGACTTGGAGGGCACCTCTAAGTGACGAGTCCTGGTGAGGAGCCCCTGAGAGAGGCATGTCTGATGCCATCAGCCATGGTGGACAGAAAAAGCACCAGCCGGTCCACAGCCAAATCCCAGAGGTCGGCTCAGCTGCCTGCACTGACGTGTGAAGGACCACACTGCCCGGCACTGTGTCCACAGTCCTGGGTGTGACACGGCCATGAGATGCTCGGGGATGACCGGCAGGCCCCTCCAGGTGCATGGACTCTGCTGGGAGCCCTTCCTGGCCCGTGCCCCGTGTCCCACCCAGGCAGGGTCCCTAGCGTGTCTGCAGCCTGTAGCAGCCTCCGGGGCTGAGCTGAGTGGCTCTGCCGTCCATTCATACGCCCACAGTCCTGCCTGCAGCCAGGCTGTGTCGGGCAGGGCCTGGGGGCACAGACTCAAAGCTTGACGGCCTTGGTTTCGGTCTCAGATTTGTTGTGACTCAGTGGGGGCCAGTGAGAACTGGGGAGATGACTTTCCGGGCGGATCAGAAAATGAAGAGTCGTCTTTGTTTCAGGAGCTATTAAAGTGATATTCTGTGTCTTTGTCCAGTGTGACAGGACCCCCAGAACTGGAGCAGCCTCGTGCTGCCACAAAGCAAGGCAGCCTGGAGATGGAGCCTGTCCACGGAGAAGCTACAGCTGCAAGGATATGGAGAAATGGGGCTAGAGCTTGATCAAGCCCTGCCTGAGGCTGTACCACTGGTCTTTAGTTCTACCAGCTGAAAAACACCCTTTATTGCTTAGGACAGCTCAAGTAGGGCCTTTGTTCCTTGTCACACACTGCAGGTGTCCCTTTGAGACAGCCACTCACTATGAGACTTGGACAACTTTGTCCACTCTGTCATCCTCTGATTCCTGAACTAGGGGGTGGAGCTAATATTAATAAGCAGCTTGCAGGGTAGTTTTAGGCATTAAACAGGGTGGTGAGGGACGAGAATGTGACATTTGAGCAAAGGCAGGAAGAAGAGAGGCAGCAAGCCACTGAGCCACTGGGGAAGAGGGTGGCAGTCACACAGGTCCTGCAAGGGACCAGCAATGGGCTCAGAGAGGGACAGGAAGGACCAACTGTGTAGGGCCCTCTGAACTAAGGACATGGTCATTTACTTCAAGGAAGACCAGGGGTGACATGATCCAACTCACTTTGGGACTTCACATTGGCTGCTGTGACCGGATGGCAGGGCCAGGGCCTGAGCAGGGGGCTGATGCTGAGGGAGAGAACCCACCCCCATCGGGCTAAGCCCCTGTGACTGGTCCCACGTGGGCGCCAAATCTCACGTCGATCCTGGAAGTACTCTCGTTATGAGGGTGCGGCGCCCTCGTTTCACAGGAGAGTAGCCTGAACTTCCAGAGACCAGTGGCCTGTGCGAGGTTACACAGCTGCATGGTGAGAAGCCACACTTTATCTCCGGGTCCCCTCCCTCTGCCACTCTCTGTTCTATTGAGGGGACAGCCCGGCTCTGCCCTGCTTCCTCCTGGCCTCGGGGGCCCAGATGCTGGGGAATCTCTGAAGCTGACTGCCGGTGACACCGAGTTCAGGCACAGCAGGTGTGACAGATGGCAGAATTCCACTTCTGTTCTCGGCACCATGAGGAGCTGTAACTTCCCTGAGCATTTCCTTTTACGGTTGAGTAACACGTGGGAGAGCGGGAAATTAGTGCCTTAGGTCTCCTAGGATTTCCTTCTGGGAGAATGGAGACTGACTATAAAATGTGCTAATATGAACCAAATTTTAGGCTACTTGCTTTGCAAAAATTGAAAACATTCAAAACTCAGAGAGAGAAGGAGCCCGGTACTATGTGGGACCCATCAGTACAAGTTCTGACGAGCATCACCCGTCAACACTCACACTCTCGGCCTGCCGATGCCTCCCGCACTCGGCACGCTCCTCTCCGTTCTCCGGACGCACGGAAACCTGTATCATGTCCACACCTTTGCCAGCATTTGGAATGCTTTCCCTCCCCCTCTGCCTGGTGGACTCCCATTCATTCTTCCAAAGCTGGACTAACAGTTATGTTACTGGTACATGCATATCAGCCTTTGCTTACATACCTCCACTAACAGGAAACTCACTACTGCAGAGAGTGGTCTCTGACTGTGTCTTCGTCTGTCACCTTGGACTACGAGACAGGGTATCATGGGCAGAAACATCCATGTTTATTTCTCACAGGACTGGGGCCGGAAGTCTGCGATCAGGGCGCCAGCCTGGCGAGGAGCCAGCACAGGAGCCGGGTGAGGGAGGCTGCTGTGCACACAACCCTCTGCTTTGTCTCCCTCTCATCACACTTGAACTGGGGGTAAAGTCTGGGAACATCTGCCCCCACCTTGGCTGGTCTACAGGGTCCACAACAGGCCTAAGCCAGAGCTCAGAGTGGTGCTGATGAAGAGAAAGATCTGGAAGCCCAAGAGAGTTGAAATCAGGTCTATGGGCAGGCCCAGCCGCCCCAGCTGCCCCTGCTCACTGCTCATAGTGACCGCACTTCCAGGAGCAATGTCATGCAGTGTATCACAGGCTGCCTGTCTTCCGCTCAGGGCCATATTTGGGCACTCCCTCCTCCATCTGCCCCCCTGCCCACCCCACTTATCTTCACAGGATCACAGGGAACTTATCACAGGGTAGCAGCAAAAGGAAAGAGAAATCGTACCGAATCCCCCGCACAAGCTTGTCCAGGCTCCATCACTGGCAGCGGTGGGGGCGACTGTTTCCCAGTTTGCCCTGCCTGGTAAGGGGATGGACAATTCTGCTTTCCCTCCACTCCCTTCGACTTCACTTCCTCCCGTGTCCTGGCCAGTGGGAACGAAAGCAGGGTCTCCCACCTCATCCGTGTGCTCCCGGCTCCCCTGTGCAGAGGGGAACAGTGGAAAACACGCAGGGAGAAGAAACCGACGCCTCCGGGACTCCCTGAGCAGCCTCACTGAGATTTCAGGCTCTCGTCCTCCTGTCCCCTGAACCCATTTCAACACCATGGGTGTTGTGCTTTTGCTGGGCCTGCTCGGCACTTGCACCCCATTCAATGTTACAGGGAAACCACCCTGTCCAAGGCTTTTGAGAGAGCTCATCAACTCTCCTTTCTCTACGTCCCTGCCTCTTGATGTTAAGCCAGTAGTCTTCTGGGTTCATTACTTATTGCAGCACAGCCAGGGCTACGTGACCCACGCCCTTCCCAGCACTTCCCTTCCACTCTGCAGGGCATGAAGTTTTATGCCATCGTGTTAATCACAGTGAATAGCATTTGCAGAGAAGTTCCATAAGCGTGACCCCCTCTCTGCAAGGACCCTGTGAGGTACTGTGCTAGAGACTATCTTCTGACACTCAGCATCCTTTTCCAGTCTGTTCTTTCCTACCTCCTGGATCACAGGGGCCAGGAAGAGGGGAACCACATTTCCCGACTCTCTTGCAGCTAGGCTCCTGGAAGATTCAGGCTCTGCTGATGAGATGCACCCGGGAGGTTTGGGAGGTAGAAAGAACAAAGAGGCTGTTTTCTGGGGACACAGCCAGGGATGAGCAGGCTTAATGGATGGGGGTCTTTGCTGGGGCAGGACTTGTTACCATTGTCTTGTCTCCTTCCTCACAGTGTCAAGGGCTGAGGAAGTTGCTACTTAACCCAGTGCCCCACACCCAGAATTCAAGCCCCACGTTCTACTTCATTAAGCCGCTTTCTCTTGAGGACACTCAA